GCAGGCCCCTCCTCGGTGGACGCCCTAGGCTTCCTCCGGATGCTGGCCTAGGGGTGTGCGGGCCCCGACGACGCCCCTCCCTGCCCGCCCCGCTTCTCACCCCGCTGGACCGCGGCGGCGTCCAACTAGGCGAACGTCGGCGGGAGGCCGGGCTCGCGCTCCCGGGCTGCTCCGTGAGGCCCTGCAGAGCGGCGGCCTCCCGAATGGCGGCAAAGCGCAGGCGCAGGTCCGGACGCGCGAGCGTGCGCGCGGCCGCAGGTCGGGAGGACCAGGGCTGACGGGAAGCGAGTTTGGCGACGCGCGCCCTTCCGCGCGGGCCAATCAGATCGCTGGTCGCGGGATGCACCTTCGCAGAGTGCGTTGGCGCGTCGAGCGTCCCGCCCAGCCCCCGGAGGTGACGTGTTTCCTGCCCGGCTCCTGGAAGTTCCTTCGCGTCAGCTGGGGCTTGGGGCGGGGCCTAGGTTTCCAGAGCTAGCGGATTGAGATGGCGGTCGCCCTCCGATTCCTCCTGCCAGGTCGAGGCGTCGAGCCCTGGCCTGGGGGCGCCCAACCGCGAAGGTGCTTCTCAAGGAAGAGGCCTGGCGTTTCAGATTCGCTGGCCGAAGGCCGGGGTAGATGAGAAACTGTTAGGGTAAAACAATCTGATCCCCACCCGGCGTTCCCGCCCCTGTGGCCAGAGCAGATTCCCTTGTGTGTGCGAACTATTGCCCTCCAGGTGCACCTGCATGAGCCAACAGCATCCCGCAAGGTCCACCTGGTTGCCGGCATCTCCAGTCTGTTCTGCTGCTGTTTATTGTAGTCTCCTTTCACGCCGAATTTAAGATCCTGCATTCTTGTATTTCTGGACATATTCTGACTTACAATGTTTGTATAAAGTAACTGGGTGCATTTTAGGGAATTTTCAGATTTTTGTTTTTGTAGCAGAATGATCCGTTCATTTTGATTAGATTTTAATCACTGCTGGGAGCGGCAAAGGGGATCACAAATAATTGAACATCATTCATACCCTTCTCATCTTTAAAGGCCCAATTTTGAAAGGAATATTAATTCAACATCAAAAGGTTCTTTATAAAAAAAAAGTTGAACACCCCACTAGAAATACAGGCAAAAAACACTAACAGCGTTATTTACAAAAGAAGAGACAAATGTCCAATAAAACAGTAAAAATAATCTTGAGCCTTAATAAAAGCACTTTTTAAGCTGTAAATTTTAAATGCAGAAATGGGAGGATCTTTTCTCTGGACATCAAGTTATACATATTAGCTTTTATGATTGTTACCTTTGATAAGTTATGTCGTAAAATTCAGTATCGGCATATATAGAGTGCTGTTTTTCTTATTTTGTCTGTATTGTAAAAGTCTTGTAATATTCTTATTGTGTTGCTGCTTTATCAATATTACCAAAATAACTTGCAGTCCTTTATTATTATTGTAGTTGTTACTCCTAAAGCCACCTTCTGGGAGATAGTTTGTCATTCATATCACACAATTTCCAGTTAAAGAACTGGTTAGAGCCCAGAGACTAGTACTAGTGTCAGTTTACTATTTCTGCAGTTGGTGAAGATGAGCTATCGTGGGTGATTTGTCAATGAAATATCAATCTGCAGATGAGTACTTGTTCCTTTGGTGGTGTTTGCTTTCTTATCTGCAGAAGGGAATCCCTTGGGTCTAGAACTGGTTGTGGAGTGTGGGGAGCTTCTGGAACACTGCAGTTCTAGGTTTCTTTTCTTTAAGGAGCTTCTTTGGAGCCTTTTTACCTTCTATTGTGAGCTCCACTTTTAGAAATAAGGTTCAGCCCTGGCTGGTGTGGCTCGGTTAAGCCTTGTCCTGAAGGGTTGCAGGTTAGATTCCTGGTCGGCACATCCGGATTGTGGGCGATCCCCACTCAGGGTGTGTGCAGGAGGCAGCTCATCATTGGTTTCTCTCTCTCTCTCTCTCCCCCTCTCCTTTCCTCTCTTTCTAAAAATCAATAAAAACATACTAAAAGCAAAACAGAACATGGTTCATTGTGGCTGCAGGCCATCATTTGTAAGGTTGCTTTACGTTTTCTTCCTTCAGTGTTAGAATAAGTTGATTATCCCAACTGAACTTTCAACAAACCTCTACCATAGAACGACTCTTAAAAGCCAAAATCTAGATTGTGATGTGGCACAAACTGGGGTTTTTTTGTTTGTTTGTTTTGTTTTCTCTATCAACAAATAACAAAACACCCTCTGCCACTATTTCAAATTGAAATTATGCCCCTTTCCCTTTCCTTTCTCCTAGGACAACTCTCCCCCCATAGTGCATACATTGAACTACTTGTTCTGTTCCCTAAGTCCCTTCACTCTTTTTCTTCTGGTTCCTCTGATTAGATGAGTTCTACTGCAATACCCTTGAGTTTGCTGATCCATCCTTCCACTTAATTTAGTCTTCTATTGCCCCCTCTGTTGAATTTTTCAGTTTAGTTATTGTATTGTTCATCTCTATTTCTGTTTGGTACTTTTTAATATTTTCAATCTCTTTGTTGAAATTCTTACTTTGTTCATTCATTGCTTTCCGGACCTCAGTGACCATCTTTATAACAGTTATTTTAACAGCTCTCTGTTGGGTAAATCACTTACCTCCAATTCATTAAGATCTATTTCTGGACATTTATCTTGTTCTTTTGTTTGGAAAATACTCCCTTATATCTTCATTTTCCTTGACTCCCTGTGTTGAAATCTGTGCATTAGATAAAACAGCCATCTCTCCCAGTCTTGAGAGACTGGTTTCATGTAGGAGATGAACCTTGTAAATCAGCTCAGCCTAAACATCTGGTTGCCTCTCAAACCTTAGTGATTGTCCAAGCCACTACCTTTGTTTTTAGAGACTCCTAGTAGTTGAGTGTGTACCAGGATCCGTTAGTGTCCCAAAAGGGAGGATCCTGTTACCAGACTGAGTCCGATCCAATTACTCAGTAGCTGCCAGCCAAAAGACAACTCTAAGTTGATTTTATGAGAAGAAACTTTATTGCAAGCCAGCAAGCAAGGACACACCAGGGATCAGTCCCAAAGCAGTGTGTCCTAAACAAGTGATCAGATTCATCTTTATTCAGAGATATCATACATAAACATCCAGGTGAATTTTGTCATGGCATGTATAGATAGGGACATTTCTGCACGGTTAGAAAACATGGTTATATATACATCACATGTTCAGAAATGGTGGAAATGTTCTGCTGCTGGGAAGAGATTTTGTATTATAATGAGAAAAGTTCATGAGGAGGTCACTAGAGGGTCCTTCAAGTACCTTTGGCCAGCCTCAAGTGGATTCAGCCAGATCCACCCCCTGGTCCTACAAAATATTCTGGGTTTGTTCTTGAAAAACAGCCTGGCAACCTCAATGTCAGGGATGGCATACGTATGGAAGGAAGTTGAATTAAGTCTCAGCATTTCTGTTAAACTCTTAAAAATTATAGGATATGGTTACACCTTATAAAATCTAGAGTGATCTGAATAGATTTACAGGTCAATCTAAGCAAAGTTATGAATTCTAAATAAAAGTTAATCTATGCTGGCCTACCTGCTAGGCTGTCTGTATAGGTTAGATTACAGTCCTAGTCAGTTTTCCACATGCCAGTCGATTGGGAGCTGGACACTCAGGTAGCTGTGAGAGCATGCAGTCAAATCCCTTGCAGGTTGGAATTGAGGGGTGTTTCTGTTTGTTTTTACCTGCTCTCATGCACACCTGTAAAGAACTGCTTCTTTGTTTGAAATAGTCCTGTGGGACTTGTGAACACAAACCTTGTTCTATATCAGCTAGGTTGATCCAGGAACCAACCCTCAGGTAGTAGCCACAAAAGGTGACACACCAGAAAAATGTACAAGCTCCCTCCAGAGATATGCTGGCAACTTGGTTTTATCATTTGCGCAAGCTGGAGGGAGCATGTGGTGTTGCCCACCAGCTGCCCCAGGATCCAGGAGGATTGCAGTCACTGCTTATGTGTGTGCTAATGAGAAGTTGGCCCCTGAGGCAGCAGCTTATATTCAGTCAACACTCTTCCAGGAAAATACTGGGAGATGTCCATTTTCACACTGAACTTTTGTTAAATAAACTTTTGCATTGGTAAAAAAAAAAAAAAAAAAGTACTTCGGTTGCCAATAATTTTTAAAAATGTAAACAGTTCCTAAGACCAAAAAGCATGAGAACCATTGCTTTAAACCACAAATTTTGAAAATGAGCACTAAAGACCTCCCGGTCTTTGATCACCAAATACAAACAAGCCAACAGAACCAAGATGGGGGCCTTAGAAGTGAAATTTACTATGTCCTGGACTTTCGAGCCTGGAAATCTCCAGATCAAAGCCAAAATGAGCAGCAAGGACCACAGCCGCTCACTGTTCAGGAGATCCAGTTTGATCCACCCTTTAAACAGGGGCCAGCAAACTGTGGTCCACAGGTTAAATATGGCCTGCTGCCTGTTTTTATAATAAAGTTTTATTGGAACAGAGCCCTGCCCATTCATTTATGTATTGTCTAAGGCTGCTTTCTCACCACAAGAAGTTAGTAGATGTGACAGAGACCATATAGCCTGCAAAGTGTAAAATACTGTCTAACCCTTTTAAGCCAGGTTGGCTCCTCTGGATCCCATGGACCTTGCCATAAAACTGTGTCCAACAATTACAGATGTTTTTAATGATAAATGAGTAATTCTTAGTTTTTTGACAAATATCTCCTATTTAATAAGGAATAGCTATAATTAAAGTATTCAGATAATTAAAGCTATGGGTTTATTTTGTTGTTGTTGTTGGTTTTTTTTTGGTATGTGCCCTTAGCAGGAACTGAACCCAGGACTCTCTGGTCCGCAGGCTGACGCTCCAACTGCTGAGCCAAACCAGCCAGGGCTAAAGCTATGTTTTAAAAAGCAAAATTTTATTGTGTAAAATTCTATGTAGAAAAAGTACAACTGGATGTCAAACCCATAGCTACTAAAATTTTTATTTAATGGTTCAAAACATAGTACCACAAGTACACAAACATTTTAAAATTTCACTAAAAGGAAAAACTATAGAATGCATAGTTGCAGAAAGCTACATAAAGTCACTTTAAAATTACCTCAGGCTACAAAAAGAAAAACCCTAGATTCTGTACCTAAGTTACCCATGTTCCAAAATAACGCAATTTATGTTACCAATTCTTAAACCATAATGGTTATAAACCACAAGCACCTCCATCAAAAGACTGAAACTATTTTGATCAAATCAGTAGCCAAATTGTTAAAAGGACTATAATTAAAGCTGGTGGGCTTCACACAGTGTTAAGGTTTCTGTCAGAGGGACTGCAGTGCAACAGACTTCCTGTAATTTTAGGACAGAAGGCACATATGTGGCTGAATTGCCAAGATTATAATGGAATCCGCTGCTCATGTCCCAGAAACTATGGTTCACTGGAAACCAACAAGCATAATGAGATACAGATCCCAACAGATTATTTGCTTACAAATGTGTAAAAACCAAAGTGTAAGTTATTCCAACAACACATTTAAGTGCTTCAGAATTCATACTGTTTGGTTATACTTTTCTAATTTCCAAAGGAGATTATTTGCTGTGTTATGGCTAAAGGATACATAGTAGTTTATACTAGAAGTGGTAAAATCAAGGAAAACTCTGTTCAATTTTTTAAGAGAAAGTTTCTATGCCACCAGTTTCTTTGTAAGGAGTAATTTCACCTTGCAGGTTATATTCCAGACTAATTTATACATTTCTAAGCCAAGGAATTTGGAATGTAAGTTCACCCTTGTCACAGCTGTGACATGCACACTGACTCATTCTGCCTCTTTGTTCCTTTTGGAACCAGCCCCTGTTGAATCTTCAGCCTCAGCCCTGCTCCCGTCACGGCCCTCCTCAGAGAATCTTCCACCACATCCACGTGCTCTCATGCGAGCTCCTGGCTGGTACAGTGGCAAGGCTGGCCGGTCCTGCCAGGACAAAAGGGTGGGTTACTCTTCCAAGGGCTGGCAATGCAAGAGGAAACAACATGTCTATTCCTAGGGGCTGAGGATATTAATTATCTAAAGACTATTAGCCCTGGTCGGTTTGGCTCAGCGGTTAGAGCATCGGCCTGCAGTCCGGAGAGACCTGGGTTCGGTTCCCGCTAATGGCACGTACCTCGGTTGCAGTTTGTCCCCGGCCCTGGTTGGGTCGTGTGGGTGGCAACCACTCGATGTGTTGCTTTCACGTCGATGTTTCTCTCTCTCTCTCCCTCTCACTCTATCTGAACAAAATATCGAGGAAAAAAATGTCCTCAGGTGAGGATAAAAAATAAATAAATAAAGACTATTAGTCTCACAGCTAAAAATCAGCCTTTTTCACAGCACTATCTCAGAAACCAAGCATTTTGAGGCAATATAAAAGCCATGAAAATAAAGACAGCTAATATGTTATTGCTCAAACCTAGAACACTCTCTAGAATAGGACAGCATGCCATTCTCCTCCCAGTTTGTGACAGTCAAATACACACATCTCAGTCCCTTCAACTCACCAAGCAGTGAAGCTGAGATCTGAAACAAAACTATGTGTGACCCTCAGGTAGCTTTTAAAGTGCGAAACTAAATAATTAACATTCATAATATGTAATTTTCTCGTGGATTATTTCTGAACTGTCCCCTTCATAGAAAAAACTAACCCATCATCTTATTAAACTCCTAGAGGTGGCGGAATAAAAACAAAGGCTGAATAAAGTACACAAATGCCATTAAACAGCTTCAGGGCATAGGGACAGTGAAGCCAGGGAAAGACTGTGATTCTGAAGCCTGGGACTGGTAATTCCAGTGGGAATAACCGCTCCTCTCAGGGAAGCCAGCCTCAAGGAGAGGGAGGGAGCAACCCCATCCCAGCTCAGGGAGCTTACAGCCCAGGGAGGAGGCCCCCTGCCTCGGCACGCCTTCCTCGCCTTCCTCGCTTGTGTGTATGACAGAGCAGCAGCCGCCTTAGCCTTTCCACGGCCACCTGGAGCGCGAGCACGGTGCGACGGGGGTGGGCATGTCCCACTGCTGTTTCACCTTTACCCACCCGGGGCTGTGGAGGCCCCATAGTTACCACCTGGGCTGATCGGAATGTTCTTAACATAAGCCTGGCCAATGAGAAGAGTGGAAAGGGCTCGGCAGGCCCCATGGATCTGAACCCCTGTGCAGGCCAAGAGGCAGCTTCACAGCCCAACATCTCTGGGCCAAGCATGGCTTGCTTTTCACCAGGGTAACATCAGTGTGTACAGAGTTCAAAACTGATCCCAAAAGCCTGATAAGAAAGGAGCTATTACCCAGAAAGCACTTAATACTGCTGTGGCATTGCAGACTTAATTGACAAGAGTCATCGTGAGTTCCCATACCTAAAGCTATGCAAATACCCAAATCACTCCTGCTAAATAAAAAGGCAGTTGAAAAACAAGTGTTCACAGGGCCAACCCCCACCAATGAGACCCCTGGCTGTACTTAGTGTACCTGAGGTTAAGGCAACTATAGAAACCCTTTGTGATACAGACTTGATCAGTCAGAGTGAAGCTAGAAGGCTCTGGCTTTTCTGAAGCTCTCCCTTGCCTTTACTAGAAACATTTAGAAAATCGACATTGCTGATACATGAAACTTGGATGGAGCTGTCGGGAATCATGCTGAGCAAAAAAGCCAATCTCAAAAGGTTACATACTCTGTGTTTCCATTTATATAATGTCCCTGAAATAACAAAGTCATAGAAACAGAGAGCAGGAGTGATTGCCGAGGGTCAGGAACAGGTGGGACGTGGGTGACCTGCAGCACAGGTAGCCTCGTCTCATTTGCTCACCTGGAGGGCGGGCTTTGGGAGACTGACAGCATGATGGGGCCTGGCCCTGTTTGTTGGACTAAGTGGGCAAGCTCAATCCTGTGTTGATTATGCAGATCTAACTTCTGGGTGTTTATGAGCCATCTGACTGTCCAGTAATCATCACACACACTTTAACAGCTGATGAGAACTCACTTAACTTTCACCCCTATTCAGTTTAACTGGTTGAAATAATGGGTGAAGCCAGACTAAGCTGTTATAGTGTGCATACATTTTTTTGGGACACACTATATTTTCTTTACTATCTTAGAGGTAAATCTGATAATATACCATTATTTACTCTCAAGCAAACAGTATGAAAGTTCTAGTTTTATACTAAATAAAAACATTTTTTTTCCTGATGAAAAGGTGATGGCTGGTTCTATTTTTCCATTTGTCATTCAGCCCTTGGTACCCACTAAGTGGACAAGAATAACTGCTCAAGCAAACGCAGACACAGGGCATTGCGCCTCCTGAGATAATGCAGGACCCAGCACGGGTGGGCCTCTCACTGTCAGCGGGGGAGATCCTGTACCTCAGACACCTCTGTAGATTTTCCTTTTTTAGTGAAATAAAGGAATTTCTGCTTGGAAAAGTAGTCATAAGCCTGCAGAAGTCCAGTTTATACTTAGCACAGACAGATGAATGGCAGATTATCCCAAATAAAGAAGAGAACCTTGTTTCGCACTCTCTCCTTTCTGGGTGCCAGGCCATCCTCACTCCTCTGTTCTCTCCCTGGTCGCTCTGTGGCTTCCACAGGGACACCGCGGTCCTGGCTACCCATCTTCACTCTGTCTGGGGTGAGTCCTTTCCCCGATTTCATCTCTTCTTCGTTTCTTCTTGAAAACTTGTCAAACTCATAGTGAGCTCTAAGCTTTCTGTTGTCATCCAAGTGGTATCTTTGTGTTTCAAGTTCTTTTTCTCGAAATTTTCTCTCCATATCCTTTTGCTCTTTATCACTGTCATTTTGTGACCTGTGATTTAATACAAATTATCAGTAACCTTACATAAACTGCTTGTCAATTACCTGTCCTTCCATCCAGACTGTAAGTTCCAGAAAAGACAGGGAATATATGTCTGCCCATCACTTTATGCCAAGTTCGCATGTGATGGGCACACCATGGGCATTCAATAAAACCTATTAAAAAGATGAATAAATTGTATTAACAATATTTACTGTTATACTTAAGTGTCACACATGTATATTAAGTGCTAAGGTACCAAATATAATTTTTAAATTCTCAGTAACCCTTAAAAATAAATACATTCCCCCTCACTGAAGATTAAGTAAATGAGACTACATATGGTAAGTAACTTTCCCAGTAGCCCAAATATGCATCCATCCCGAGGCAGAGCTGATAGTGGCAGCTTAGTTTCTGCTCCAACCACAACAAAAATTAACTGAAATTTAATAACATTTGTATGCCAAACTATTAAATGACTAGTAAATAAGTAAGTGGCCGTTTAGCTCATTTGGTTCTTAAAGTCTTTCCCTCCAGAACCACAGGCAAAAGTCCTCACATGCCACCTATGGATGTCCCACATACAGAAGCAGCAAGACTGGTGGGGACAAAAAGCCCTATAAGCGAAGCGTGAACTGGTGCCAGAAACATGACAAAAGGCACTGCTGTGTCCTAAGCAATAATAATAAAAATGTCTGTAACATAAACGACAGCACTAACAGATCAGATTTCATATGATGCATAAGTTAATTTTATATACAAACCAGTAAACCAGAATCCCCAAAAAGAAGAGAAAACTTTACATAAATCAGTTTGCAAGGTACACAGTAATAAGTCACTCAGACTACTGTGATCCTGGGCAAATAGCAGCCTAATCCCATGACCCTGCCCTCTGAACTCGAATCCACTTCCAGCCACTCCTGTGAGCAGAGCAGCCCTAGCCTCCAGGAAGCTCTGCAGGTGTCTAAATGTAATGCATGGGCAGGAGCCCTGGGTCAAGGGGACAAGAAGCCCAGCTGCATGTGGCCCCACTGACTGTGGGGAGATGACCAAATCCAAGGTCAGGGACAGAATGAAGGGCCTACCTCTGTACAAGTGTCTGACTGTTCTTTCTCTGGACCCTCTGCAGAGACTGCTATGCCTGTCTTGTTCCCAGAGAAGCCCTGCCCAAGCTCCTTTTGTGAGCTCATGTCATGAACAGGCAAAGACCCATGTGACAGAGGACCCCCAGTGGAAGAGAAGTGGGGCTGGCACAACACCAGATCTACGTCTGTGGGTCAACTCCAAGGAAGGAATTACAGCACTCAGAATTCTATCTCTTCAGCACAAAAGACTTTCAGTACCTAAAAGACCAAATTCTCAAATTTATAATTCATAGACAAACTAAAGGAGGTCTGGAAGATCAAATGGGCAAAATATCTCAAAAAACTCAGAAAAATTACAAAGTGATAAAAGTCACAAGGAAAAGAGACTGGGAAGAAGATCGGGAATACCTGAAGTGCAACTACAGAAACCCAAAGGGAATAAGAGAAGGACATTTCCCTGGTTCGAAGATAAGTTTAAGGCAGCAGACCAAATGGGTTTACCAAGTTCCTAGCATGACCAAAGAGAAACAAAAATGTGCACAAGCATTCAAGAATTCTGAGAATATTATGAAATATAGGAACTCGTCCTGACAAAGGATATATGACTGTGACTTCATGACAATCCTGTGATGTTTAATGTGGTCAAAGAAACAGAAATGCGGGGCTCACTTTTCCCTGTGCTCCTCCGGCAGGCTCTCCCAGGGCTTGGCCTTCACAACAGCACAGCCAGGATAGGCTTCCCATTGTCCATCTCCAGTATCAATTTCCTCTCCTGCTTCTTTTGGTTTCTCAGTGGCTGCCTCCTCTCCCTTTTCTGGTTTCTTAAGAAGCTGAAAAATTATAAAGCTAGTAAAATATCACTTTAAAAGTATATTATAAAAGAGATCATTTAACAAATAATTAAAAATATATACCAATATTGAGCTCAAATGTTTGAATAGCAAAAAAAAGGTTAAGACAAAGGTCCAATGAACAGGTTTTGGGTTAAATACCTAGGGTAACATTCAATCAATGAAACATTTTGTAGTTACGAAAACACGATTTAGGATAGTTAATGTGATGAATCACTGCTTATATTAATGAATAAAGGAATATTACAAAAAATGATTTGATTTCTATTTCTGTGTTGATACACACACAGAGAAATGTCTAGAAGGCTTGCAACACTGTGTTAACAGTGATTATTTTTAGGTGGCAGAACCGAAATGATTTCCTTTCCTTTCACCTACCAGTTCTAGTTTTTCTAAAATAAACAAGTATGAACTTTGTAATAAAGAAAACATTTTTTAAAAGGTTGCTTCGTATTAATGACTTTTAGAAGTTTTAGAGTTTTCAAAACACTTATTGCCTTTCTTGAAACAGACTTAGCAGGTTGCTGTGACACATTTCATTTGGTATGCCTTTCCTTTGGGCCTTCCGCTCGGTTAGTTACCCATATAACTTACTCTCTGAAATGTAAATACCACAGGTAGAGTCAGTTTGTAGAACATAAATAGAAGATATACTTCTGAGAATTTTGTTCTCGCTTTGCAAAAGTAAACATATTTTAAATTTCAGTATAGCAAAATCATAAACAGATACATTTGGATTAGATTAATTCATTTAAGAAACAGATATAACATAAGGCAAAACACTAAAGTGCTTCTTATCAAAGGCATATGTTACCTATATATGTGCTCTTATTCTGTCTGTGTGGAATCTTTGAATTTAAACATTTCTTTTCAGATAACAATCAATCTTTTTTTTTATTACAAAAGTAACATATGCTTGCAATAAATGCAATTGAACAAAATCTGTAAATACAATACAGTATATGTATCCATCCATCCAACAAGTAATCTGTGCAATTATGAACTGTTTTTACTCACAATACTTCTGAAACCAAGTGTGTGGTGCCTTTTCACAAACTTCCCCAACTCTCCAACATAGGGTGTTGTTCTACAATTCAATTCAGTTCTGACACCACCTACCTGGAATTAACATCAGATCCCACAAGACTGTCCCCACTTCAGCTGCCAATCAAAAATCCGAGGTTGTCACTGGTCCTTCTGACCAAATGGCTATGAATTCAGGGGATTCTTGAATGAGAATGTCTCATGGAACTCAGGAGACTGTTTCACCCACTATTGCTGGTTTATTATAAAGGATGTAACTCCAGAACAGACCAAAGGAAGAGATGCACAGGGCAAGGCACAGGGAATGGTTCAAAGCTCCCACACCCTCCACAGGAACACCATCTTCCTGGCACCTAAACCTATTCACCAGCTGGGATGCTCTCCAAACTCCAAACTTTAGGGACTTTTATAGAGGCTCCATTATGCAGGATTGATTAAATCACTGGCCATTGGTGACTGAACTCAATCTCCAGTACCTCTCCCCTCTCTGGAGGTCAGGGAGTGGAGCTGAAAGTTCCAGCCCTCTAATAGGGCCATGTCTTTCTGGTAACCAGCTCCCACCCTGAAGCTATCCAGGGTATCAGCCACTGTCACCTCACTGATGTACAGAAGACATCTTATCACTCCAGAGACTAGAAGGGTTGTAAGGGCTGCATGCCAGGAACCAGAGGAAAAGGCCCTATGCTGAATGCTAGGATTACAGCTGTGAGTAAGAGACATGTGCCCACAATTAAAGAACTCACACTTAACCTTCTAGCTGTGGCAGTGGTGGCCATGGGGTGGAAGACCGGTATCCGCAGTGACAAAAACAGAAAACTGTGAACAAGATAATCTCAGGTGGTAAGAAATGCGATGAACAGAATAAAAGGACAGAGAGATGTGGGGTGAGAGGAAGAGGAGGAATGGTTTCTCAAAAGGGTCAGGGAAGCCTCTCCATGAAAATAAGATGTACACAGAGACCAGATGATGAGGAGTCACTGATGAGAAGGAAGAGCCATCTGAGCAGAATACTAAGAAGGTAAGGGCTGACTCTAATTTAGGGCAACATATTTTACATAGAGAAAAGTTCCCTCTATGCATGAAACCACCCTCCTAGATGAATATAACAGGCAAAGGAGGAATTGGGCAAGAGATGTAGAAACCACTTCTACGAGAAATCTGGTTCTGTGAGTCAGCCTGCACACAGCAAGACTAGAAAACAGTGAGCCAGTGGTTTTCAAATGTATATTTTTCAGTCAAGAACTCTTTCCATTAGAGTAAAATGTAAGCACGAGCCCAATCTATGGTACTTAAATGTGGGGCTCCTCTGGGTGAAGTGCTCCCCTCACCCCCAGGAGGCCAGTCCTCTTCCACCCTTCCACCAGCTCAGTCCTCCCAAACACAGCATGCCCAAGGAACCCTGAGGGCTTAGGGAACAGTCTGAGAACTATTATTGTAGAACAGAGAAAAGGAACTATGGTAAAAAAGACCAGACAAATTTTAAATGTCCTTTTACTCCCAGAGAGCTAAGATACTTAAAAGGCATGATGAGGATAGAACTATTTTTGAAAAAAAGGTCTCCTCCAAATTACCTTAATCCTTACTTCTTTCTCAGCAGCTTTCTTTTGTTTGTCTGTTTCTTTTCTCTTACATTTTTCCTCTTCTCTTTTCTTTCTTTTTTCTTCTTCCCGTATGCGTTTCTTTTCCAACTCCCTTCGCCTTCGCTCTTCTCGCTTCTCTTCTCGAATTCTCTAAAGAGGTAGAAAAGTATGTGTATAAATTGTCTGCGTGGATGTGGCAGAAACATGAAGGACATTCACCCGGTACAAGGCCAGACATACCTGCTTTTCTAACTTTCTATTTTTAATGTATTCCAAAAGAGGTGTGGTTCTTCTAGCTAAAACAAAACAAATTGTAATGAAGTATTTAACTCAAAAATAAGATTTCTTTCCTTTGTTTTAAATACGTGCTTTCAATGTAATCTTTAAAATAATTAAGGGAAGAACATTATCATGTTTACATTTACATAAGCATACACTGTATTTGGGGGGTTCTTATTCCATCACTATAAAGTCAAGTAATTTGAAAGTACTGACAACTTTACATGTAGTAGGCATTAATTCCTGATTCTTAAGGGAGTCATATGTTACTCACAAAGACGGTATAAAAGCAAAATGAATACAACATATTAAACTTCCCGAATGTTACATATTCATATTTTTGCAGATATTTAAAATCATTACATAACACACACACACACACACACACACACACACATATATATATATATATATATATATTTTCACTTTGATTCAACACATATTCTGGCAATTTCTTCCTTTTTGGCTCTCTATACAATGGTTTTAAGCAATGTGAATTCTTATAATTTCTTATAATATATGCGCCATAAGTCAGAATAACCAGAAGTAAAAGTTTAGAATATAACTCCATATGGCAGTGTTGATCTAAAAATTACCAACTACTCAGGAATAAAGGCCTCCACACACTCTAACTGGATCGTCGACTTTCATGGCCTGACCTGTCTCACCTGACCCGGATGCTGGGTGCCCAAGCGTGTGGCAGGCCTCTAGGTGCTGCCTTCCTGAGGGACTAGGTCCGAGAGGTATGTGTTCCTCATGGCAGTGGTTGAGAACTTAGGTGAGCAGGTAGAAGATGGTTTGGGTCTATAGCAGAGGCCTTCCAGACCTCAGATTAAATAAAGGAAGAATCCCTGGATGCATTTGAAGACTGACATGACATTCCAGAATTCTGGGAATTGGGAATGAATCAGAAATTATAAGAGAGCCCCTGGCCAGGGGTTCCTGACTTGGAATTGAGGGCTCCTGAACACCTTGATGTCACATACCAAATGGTACCTGCCAGGGGAGCTCTGTAGATGCCCACGTTTCACCGCAGGTACAGGGACCAATAAGAGCCTGCTCTCTCCCTGTGGCTCCTGTGCTAACCATGACCTCTGGCTTAGGATTAATTAGCACAGCCAATGCTCTTCATAATAGGCAAGTTACCCCAAGTTAGGGAGAATGCTGCTCTGCACCATGGAAGCTCTCCCAAGGAATGGGCCGAGACCTACCTTGGTGGGTGAAGGAGCTAAACTGAGACCAACCACATCAGCCTTCCCTCATCTCCAACAAACCACCTGCCTTGTTACCCACAAAGGATCAATGTGAAGGGAAAATGAGATGCTGTATAAGTGCTTTACAAACCACAAAATTGTATCATTTATTAAATAGGGGATGTGTGACCATGTACCATACTATTTAACCAACAATATAACCATTGCCACCTAGAGGGAGCCAATACCTAGCAGCAATGTCACCACAACCTATAAGGAAACAGAGAACCTGAGGCTAAGGATGAGGCTACATGGTTGACAGGTCTTAGGTCTGTCTGCTCTAAAGACCCTGATATGCCACTGTACTACTCTGCAACTTCAGAGTGAATTAATATTTCCATCTAACCCTGATCGTTTACCCTTGATTAAAAGAACCCACTGAAGGCCAGAATCTAAGAAGAGAAAGAGGTTACTTGCCATGATTTGCCTGATTAAGGTGCAAATCTAAATGGGCAGAAACAGGAATCACAGAACCAAAGCTCTATATACCTCATCCTTTGGAAAGATACTGACTTCGACCTTGAGATATAATGCTCTTTCCCTAATACAGCAAGCACTCAAATGTGTTTTCTACTGTTCATTCATCACAAATTTGAAACAAGGTGAGTGTAACTGAAAACTCAAGCTATCCCACCACAGACACTCAGCATATTTTCCCAAGCTGCCATCTTGCTATCCTTTTGTCAAAACTAAGAAATAGTCTACTTTTCTGCCAAACCTATCATGTGTCATTTTTAATGAAAATCATTAAACACAAGATATAAATACATACTCTATAATACTTATCTCAATAAAGTAAAGAGAAGAAATGAGCAAAACAGACCAATAAGTTCTCTTGTCTTTGCCTCTATGTCTCCCAGAAGCGTTTCGGGATTGGCACCAGTTTTCTCCCCCTCCACACAGTAAGCTTCTAAAAACTTCTTATATTCTGGATCTGTAAATTTAAAAGAAAAAATAAATATGCTCCTCCCCATATAAAGAAGAGAAACTGTATTTGATCCATGTGTTTAATTTGGAAGTTTCATAATCCAGCCTTTAAAAAAGGACTCACCGTCATCGATGCTTCCGGTTTTGGCATCCTTTTTCTTCAGCTTCTTTTTGGCTATCTTCTGGAACGGAGCAAACTCGACCACTGCAGGATATTCAAGGCCTTTACCAGAAACAAATTCCAAAAATTATTCGGAAATTCTACTATATTTGTTTTGGAAAAGAATGATCTAGCTTCCTTAAGGATTGAACATAACAATGAAAATGTTACTGTTTAAACTATAATTTAATTATACTTTCAAGCAAGTGCATCTTAGCATGCCAAACTCCACATTTAAACAATGGAGAACAATTATTTATTAAATAAGACAATTCCTCATGTTGTAGTGGAGGTTACATGACTGAATACATTCAAAATTCATCAAACTGTACACTTTAAAATGATAAATTTTTCCATATGTTACTTATACCTCAGTAAGCCTATCTCTCCTCACCAAAGGTTATCTTTCTTTAAATTGATCCCTTAGTACCATTAAACTTTTTTTTATTTTAAAAGGTTAATTCAATGATTAATCCATTATATGAGTTCAAGAAAATTACCTTGCTTTTCAATAGCTGCTGGATAAAAGAGGGGGACTCAAGTGTATACATAATATTCAGGTAAAATTTGCCTCAAATGAAAAGAAAATTCAGAATGAAAGTGACCAGGAATTCATTTTTTTGTTGTGGTAAGTGTGTGTGTGTGAGGGGGGCACACACATAGAAATGATCACTGAAAGAACCTGCTATTAAACAAATGGGACACTCTTCCTTGGCTCTAAACCTACAGAGTACAGTGATACCTCGGTTCTCGAACGCCTCGGTTTTCGACCAAATCGGTATTCGACCAGGAGATTCGAGAAACTTTTGTCTCGGAATCCGAACAAATATTTGGAACTCGAACTTCCGAGATGAGCCGAGTTGAGCCGAATGGCGTTCATTCGGCCCAGCGCGCCTTGCTTGCCTCATCAGTGTGAGTGCAGAGAGAGAGTCACGCTTTGTGGAGTCACGCTTTCCTATTGGGTTTCATTGCTTCGGTTCTCGAACAATTCGGTTCTCGACCTTCCTCCTGGAACGAATTATGTTCGAGAACCGAGGTATCACTGTAATCACTTTTGGACTTGTCAGGAACAGCCAGGTCACTGTGATATTATAATTCTCTCATTTACCTGGAAGACTCAGGCCACAATATTAGTGAACCATGAAAACATTATGTTAAGTGTAATAGGCCGGTTAGAAGAAAATAAATACTGGATGCTTCCATTTCATGAGGTATCTAGAGTATTCAAATTCATAGAAACAGAAATCAGAAGGTGGTTGCCAGGGGCTGGGGAGAGGGAGGATGAGAAGTAACTATTATTTAATGAGTACAGAGTTTCACTTTGGAAAATGAAAAGAGTTCTGGAGGTTGGTTGCACAACAATGTGAATACACTTAACACTACTGAACTGTACTCCTGAAAAAGGAATAAGATGGTGATTTTATGTTATGTGTATTTTACCACAAAATTTGAAAAGGAATTTAGAAAGGCACTTGAATGTATCACTGAATAAATGAGCACGCAACACAAATGTCAAATGGTTTCAGCATTAAACTTGCCTGTACTCATAGAAAAAATCTCCTGGCTTCAGCCTAGTCACTCTTTAACCATCTGTTCTGGTTTGTGACCCCACCCCCACAGCCAGTGGAAGGGAAGAAAGCACTTGTCAGTAGGGGGGTGGGGTCGAGTGGGAAGAGGTGGGTGGTGAGGGGTGTATAGAAAACAAGATGCTGTGAAAAGTGTGCACACATGACAGCAGCGAACACAACGGCTGATAGGAGAGGAGGAAAAGAAAAAACATCAAAAGCAGAACCCAAAAAACAGAGGAATTGGACCCATTTAGAGTAGAGGTAAATTACATCGTCTTAGCAGACAATACTGTTAAACAGGGTCAAAAACTGATGTCCAGTATTACAATCTCCTCCCCCGTGACATCATCCAGCAACAGTGTAATTATGAAGCAAACTCTGTTTAGGAAGACATTGATATAAATGAATAATGCATTTTAGAAAATGTTTGTCAAATGTGGGTAAAATAATTGTTTAGACATAAAAAAGTCAAGTTCACTTACAGAAAGCTCATTTATATGGAAAAACTTCAATCTCCAATGATAATACATAAATAGGTTGTCACTATTACCCAATTGCTGGAATTCTCTCGTTTATATATAATTTTAATTTTTAACAAGCACACAAGCACAATAACATGATGTAAATTTACACATTACTTTAGATTAGTATATGAGAACTGTTTAATTAAAACTCACAAATATTCCAGCAAAACGTAATGTACTTGAAGACTGTAACAACGAGTTTAAAAAGCCAATGACCCAACCTTTATTGTCAATGAAGATATATCCATCAAACCGATCTCTAAAAAGAAGAATGTCATCAGGATTTCTAAAATTAATGTATGCCCTTGAGTAGAGATGAGGATAAAGACTGCAATAAGAAAAACAGTGAAAATGGTTAGTAAAAAATATGACTTCTTTAGTTTTGCCTTTGCCTTGTCTGAATACAACAAAACTACTTCAAATAAAACTATGCCAAAGATTCATCTCTCGGTAAATGACAACAATCTGGATAGTCTTCATTCAGCAAAAAACAAAAACAAACAAACAAAGCATTAACTGAGTTTTAATGACCTGGGAAAGACTCTTTAGGGTAATTTCTCTACTGCATGGAGCCAGGGCTAAACTACTGGTTCTCAGGGGCTGAAAACCAAAGTCACGCCCCATCATGCAATACCACCTACTCATAATTCCTTCATAGAAGAAAATGTTATATTGTGAAAAGATTCTTTACTGAGTTAGAGAACACTTTTAGGTGTTATTAAGAGTATTTACTGTAGCACATTGTACAGTGTCTACAGAACTAAAGCTTTCTCTGCCATCTCAGAGCTACCAATTTCCTTCATAGGCAGGAACTCTCAACCCCCTTTCACAGATGAGAACACTGAGGCTCAGATAAATTAGGTACTTACAGAGGGTGCAGTTAGTTAAAAGGTGGGACCAGGAGCCCTGGTTGGTGTGGTTCAGTGGTTAGAGCCTCAATCTGCAGACTGAAGGGTTGCAGGTTCCATACCTGGTCAAGGGCACGTACTGGTGTTGCAGGTTTGATCCCTGGCCCGGTCAGGGTCGTGTGGGAGGCAGCCAATCGATGTCTCTCTCTCACATCAATGTTTCTCTCTTTCTCCTCTCCCCTTCCTCTCTCTCTAAAAATCAATGAAAAAAATATCCTTGGGTGAGGATTTAAAAAAAAAGGTGGGATTGGATTCCAATCTGAGCCACTCTGGGTCCAGTGTCAGTCCTCCTTTAACTGTTCTAGTTTTCCTAAATTTTAGTCATTTGAAAAATCATCTTTATGTTTTTTCTTTTACCATATCTATATTTATATATTAGTGGTATTTCTTTGTTGAACAGACTTACATTTTTTACTTTAATGTATTTATTCAAAAGGAAAGTTTTATAACTTCCATAAATGAAAACTCATGATATTGAAGATAAAAAGGATAATAATAATGAAGATAATAAAAACAGTGAAAATCACTAAGTCAGAGCTGAACTGTCATCTATTGAAGGTCTAACTAGAGGTCAGCACTCTCTTTGTTAATAAAAGGAAGATTTGAAAATAAAATGTTTTGTCAGAGTCATCTATCTACCAAGTTGTAAAAGGGAACTGAAAAAATATAACTTCAGCCCTGGCCAATTTGGCGCAGTGGTTAGAGCATCGGTCCTCGGACTGAAGGATCATGGGTTCAATTCTCAGTAAAGGGCATGTACCTGAGTTGCAGGTTCAAACCCTGGCCCTGGTCAAGGTCATGAGTGAGGCAACCAATCAATGTATCTCTCTCACATTGATGTTTCTCTCTCTCTCTCTTCCTCTCTCCCTTCCACTCTATCTAAAAATCAACAGAAAAATATCCTCCAGTGAGGATTAATTAAAAAAAAAAAAAAAAAAAAGCCCTGGCCAGTTTGGCTCAGCGGCTGGAGTGTCAGCCTACAGTCCAGAGAGACCTGAGTTCGGTTCCTGCTAAGGGCACGTGCCTCGGTTGCAGTTTGTCCCCAGCCCTAGTTGGGCTGTGTGGGTGGCAACCACTCGATGTGTCCCTTTCACGTCGATGTCTCTCTCTCTCTCTCTCTCTTCCTCTCTCTCCTTCCCACTCTATCTGAACAAAAAATGGGAAAATGTCCTCGAGTGAGGATAAAAAAAATAATAAAAAAATAAAAATAATAAATAAAATTAAAAGGAAGAAAGAAAAAGATATAACTTGAGAGGGGTGGGGTGGGATCTGGGTGTTATGATGGAAGGAAGCACAGTGGGACTTCTGGAGTCTGGAATACTCTTTCTTTATCTGGTGTTAGTTACATGGCATGTTCAATTGTGAAAACTCATCAAGTTATACATCTATTATTTATTCAATCTACTTTGTTATATCTTAATACAATTTACTTTTAAAAATGTTGTTGATATGCAAAACCAAAAATTAAGTAATACATTGTTAGTTGGTCTGTTTTTTTCTTCTTAGACCATGGTGGTGCAGTAGAGGCATATTTCAAATCTGTTGAAGAGGCATTTAATGATCTGCCTATTTAGAAATAACTTGCAGAAATAAAGTACTGCACTGATTTCTGGGAACATAAAGATGGAAAAGGAGATGTCTTCTATTGTCTATAATACTTTGCCAAAAAGTGACAACACCTGTCAGATTCTTAGCATTGGTAAACAGCTTCTCACCTGAGATCCCCAGTAAAGAACTCAAAATAATCGTGTGTAGGTAGTGGGTGTAGTTGCTCTTCCAGCTGCTCCTTGGTGAGACTGGGAGGAAGGCGCCGGATGACCACCTAGGGAAAGTATACTGGCTGGGTTTTGTTTCACCCTTACTGTATCAAGCTTTGATTATTTCAATGCCTGGTGACCTTTTTATGTTCAGAGAAAAATCTAAACCAAGAGTCCAACAGAAATACACATTTTAGGAAAGGTTAAGGAAAACATACATGAGCCCTGACCAGTATGGCTCCGTGGTTGGGGAGTGTCAGTCCACACCTCAAATGGTTTTGGGTTGGGTTCCCAGTCAAGGGCACACACCTGGGTTGTAGGTTCAATCCTGGCCCAATCAGGAAGCATGCAGAATGCAACTAATCGATGTATCTCTTTCATATCAATGTGTCTGTCTCTCTCTCTTTCTCTCTCCTCTTCCCTCCCTCCCTCCCACTCTCTCTCTCTAAAAATCAATGGAAAAAAATATCCTCAGGTGAGGATGAACAAAAAATGAAACATAAAAGAAAAACATACATGAGAACATGGCTGTCAAAAGGGTAATGAAGCATGAATAATTGAAAAGGTATTCCTGAGGTCAGAAAAGGTTGTGCATAAGTTCTTTGTCATGCAGTCATTTAATTACTACCAGACAGCAGTTGGCATGTCTGTGCCTGCGTTGAAAAGTAGTAGCTTCTACACTCTCTCTGCATGTTAAGCCACAATGGCAGGTAGGGATCCATGCAGTGAATGTATGTATGGAATGTTTAAGACCAATAACAAGGGGGAGGGGGGAATCAGTGGGGGAAAAAGGAGAATCATCTGTAACAAAAATTAATCAATAAAAAAAAAATTATAAAAAAAAAAAGAGCAATAACAAACCATGCGTTTGTTCTTACTGCCAAGAGGAACTCCACCTGCGTTGGAAACCTTTCGCCTCCAGTCCAGAGTGTCCACACTGCCGGTCCTATCCCACCACACCATCAGGCTTTCCAGCCTCTCTACCTTCCCAGCTTCCCAGGACCTGATAGGACCTTCGCTAGGCCGCATCACCCCCTTCTCCTGCCCACTCAGGCCCAGGACCTGGATAGTGTGGAGCTGGTTGAGCCCAGCGTCACAGCCCCAACGGGACACGTCCACCTCCAGAGGCTTAAATTTTCTTTCTCCCCAAACCAGAAAAGAAACCGTCAGAAAACTCTGGCGGCACAAGGGGCTCGGGACGGCGCTGCCAGGACGCTGTCCGCGGTGCTGATACGGCAGAGACGCCAGAGGCTCCGCCCCTGACCCTGTCCACCTGCCCGGTCCTGGGCCCCGCCCACCCGCCCGTGGAATGCTCCACTTAGTCACACCCTCTCACCGTGGATACCCCTCGGCCACGCCCACTCTCCATTCATCCACCACGCCCCTTCCCTCGTCCCGCCTCCACCTAGGCCAGGAACGACTTCCTCCCGACGTGCGCCCGCACCGCCTGTGCTCTCGCCTGCTCCCTCGCCCCGCCTCCGCCTCTCCTCTGGGCGTTTGCTCGCACCCCCACCCTCGCCCCGCCCCATCTCGCGGAAGACCCTCCTCCTCCCCAGCCAGGGCTGCCTGCCGCTCCGCCCAGCCGGCGTCCTTCCCGCGCCGGCTCCGCAGCAGGACCTCCACGCCCTCGCTAAGTTTGCCTGCACCGCTCGCTCTCCGCCCGCCCCGTTCCTGCTCGCACACCCACCTTGCTCAGGACTGTCCTCTTCTCCTCGCGAGGTTTGCCCGCGCTGCCTCCACAGCTGGAGGACAAGGCCGACGGCACCCCTGCCTCTCGCCGCGGCGACTCCCGGCGGACCTGAGCTTCCACAGCGGACGTCCTCTCCCTCCCGCTCTGGCTCCGCGCAACAACGGCCACCCCGGGGCCTCCGGGCCCCTCCTTTTCCGAGCGCATCCCGCACCCGCCGCGGCTCCACTGCCGCCTCCCGCCCGGGCCTAAACTTCGCGAGAACTGGAACGCCGCCGCCCCCACTGTCACCCCCGCCCCCTGGGTTCAGACACCGCCTGACCCCTCCCCCCAGGCTGTGTTGCTCTACGTCCAGCTTCCCTGGGGGGTGCCCAACACCTCCGAAGCCGCCCCCTCGACACGAGATTGGAGACACCTCGGGGTTGGTGGGCTTGCGGCGGGGCGGGCCCGCAGCCCGAGCACCCCCATCCCCACCAGCGCCTGGTGTCGCCAGTGGCCAGCCGTGCGGCCACCGGGAAGCAGCGGTCGGGGGCAGGGGAGGGAGGGTCAGGCTGCCCACGCCGTCCTTTAGCCCAGACTTCGGAGAGTCTGGGGGCGAACGAGGCGTCGAGGAGCCTCTCCCTTTAGCTTGTCGGCTGTCACTGGAAAACAGGACTAGAGGATGTTTGGTTCCAGCAGGAGCCTTTAACAAGGCTCTGCAGGGCTTACTCTTTCCCACAGAGAAGAGCAGGCCCTTTGGCTAAATGTTGCATGCACGTACTTAATAAATTATTTTCAGCTATTTTTCTTTCCCAAGGAAATTTGAACGTTTCACCAGAGGATGGCAGTTCCATTTAAGAAAAGTCAGTCAATCGACAGCACAAATCCGTACATAGCTTTCCTATACGGAATAAAGTAAATGCATCAGAGTTGAGAGCATAAGTTGGCTGGCATACAAGGCTCATTTCGGCTGTCCTTAGGAGCTCAGATGTAAACTGTTGACTACTGTCTGGATGGCGGTTGAGGCTTGATTAGAGTAACTAACAGCTCAGACCCACAACTTCACAAAACAGTACCTAGGGTTCTCAGTGTAATTTTAATTCAATTGGGGGGGGGGCTGTAAATTAATGGGACAGCAACCAAGCCAGATTCACATTTATATATTTTTCTTTTACAAATATACAGGCAGTAACACTTTTAGTTAGTCTAATTTATACGTGGAAGTTTGTTTTTATTTTTTTATTTATTTTAAATCCTCACCTGAGGATATTTTCCCATTTATCTTCAGATAGAGTGGGAGGGAGAGAGAGAGACATCAATCAGCTGGAACCAAACCACATGCCCTTGACTAGATCCAGCCCATGACTTTGGTCCAAGGGCTGGCGCTCTAATCACTGAGCCAAACTGGCCAGGTCAAGTTCTTCCTTTTTAAATGCAACGTTTTTTTTCATATTTTTTTCGTTATTCATGTTGGCTGTACTTTTTATTCATAGCATGTTTTCTCAAGAACTTCAAGTACAAACAAAAAAGGAAACTAGAGAATGGAGTAATTGAGGCATTAAGAGATCCAGGTAGCCACTGGCTGATACTGGAAGTAAATCCAGGCTTAACTAAATCCAGTACTTTATCCTTGAACCACTAAGTACCTGTAAACACACTAGAAATGTGATATATTAATGGACCAAAAGATTTAAAAAAGCAGTCCCGCCCTGGCCAGTTTGGCTCAGCGGTTGAGCGTAGGCCTGTGGACCAGAGAGTCCCGGGTTCGGTTCCTGCTAGGGGTATGTACCAAAAAAGCAGTCCCAAAAACTCAGTTCTTTAAAACCCCACAAAGGGGGCCAGGAGCTGTTTTCAATATATCATAAAGTCTAAAGTTATACTATTAAAAACACACCTACAATAAAGTTGCACAGTGTCCTTTCTTGTCTTAAATAATGTTGGTATAGAAAGCATAGTTATGCTGATTAGAAGCGCTGATGGTCTTATCTGTGATTTAAAAAAAAAGGAAAATGTGGTTGCCAGACAGATCTTTTTATAATGAGAATGGGAGGTAGAACAGAGGGGGCTGATGGTGAAAATTGCGAAAACCATTCATTTAAGAGATTTGAATGTTTCATCAGTCTTTAAATACAGAGCACATATTTCGACTATCTTTAAAAAAAAAAAAACGCTATTTGCAGGTTTTCCCTCTCTAGTTTCTAAATATAATTCAGATTAAACAATCACCTAACAGTATCTAATTTTAGCTCTTTAGATTTGTTTCTAGATAGGGGTAATAAAAACGGCCTTATACCTCACATCTATTCTTATTGAAGCACACTTCCTCCAGTAAAATTCTTTTTTTGCTTTTTTTTAAATCCTCACCCAAGGATATTTTTCTGTTTATCTTCAGATAGAGTGAGAGGGAGAGAAAGGGAGAGAGAGAGAAGCATTGACATCAGAGACACACATTGACTGGTTGCCTCCTGCATGATCCCAACCAGGGCCTGGGTGGGACCTCCAAATGGCCGTCTCAAACTTGAGACTCATTGGTTCGTGGGCTGATGCTCTACTGCTGAGCCAAACTGGCCAGTGGAATTCTTTTATTACGTAGCTAAATAACACCAAAATTATCAAATGGAGTAAAGAACTCCTGTCCTCAGCTTCTCTATAGGCCCAATCATACACAATGCCTTGTGATGTCTCTTGTGTCCATATTTTGCCCCCACCACATTGTAGCCATGGCTTATGCTATGAAGCCCTCTCAGCCCAAGCAAACATCTTCCCAGCCAAGGTGGCTTCATTGGAGATCCCCCAGAATCTTGAGTACACCTCCATTTACTAGTTACTCAAGGCTCAAAGGACACTCCCTACAACCCAAAACTGTGCCTTCACTTAAGCAGGAATTATGTCTTTATTCAACTCTGTGTCCAGCCCAATCCTGTTTGTTGGATGTATTTCTTGTCAATCCAGCCAGCAAAATGCCCAAATGTTTTCCCCCACAAGTAACATACATGACTGTCAGTTTTAAAAGACCCCTCTGATTCAGTTCTGCCTATTATCACCAAGTTGTGAGAAATGGATTCACAAAAGTGATAGAATTTTGGAATTTAGGTCTGCTGAAATTATTTTTTAAATAAAATCTTCTAATACAAATGTCAACATACAAGTTAGTAAATGAAATACATTAGTAAAATAGCTTGTGATTTTCTATGAAAAATATATAATTAAAAAATGTAGCTTCCTGCACATTATCCAGCCTGTTAAATGTTCTGTTTTACATATGCAGAGAAATACAGCCCAAACCAGTAATAAATCATCTTGAAACAGAGTAAATATAGTAAGTAACTGCTTTTCAACCAGTGTGCCACAAGAATTTTTAAAACATGCGATTCCTGACTATTTAGTCAGGGACACTAACCTCTTTTCCCTTAGGTTGTCAAATTAAAAAATGACAACAGCCAACGTAACAATAGCTGTGGCGTGAATGGCCTGTCTTGAACCACAAATATATGTCATAAAATATTATGAGTTGCATCTTATTGGTCATGATGTATAAAATTGTGTCTGGTTAATTGTCAGTACTAGAAATCCTTATATACAAATATAGGCACCTGACTTTTTAAGGTCACTTTGGAGCAAAAAGTATAGGTAGTTACCATTGTTATATTTTTGTGTAACAAAAATATTTAAAATATTTGTATATTTTATATCAATCAAAATTATACCTATTTATTTGTCAGATCAGCAAATATATATATATATATTTTTTTTTTGGTGTGTTGCAGAATATTAGTAATTAGTTCATGTGTGCCCCGAGATTAAAAAGGTTGAAAATCTCTGGCTTAACTGAATACCCATAAATGTGGTCCTGGGCTAAATGTCTGTCATAGGAAAGGCTATGTTTTACTTTGAGTTACAGATCCAATTGGTGGATGACAGTGACAGTGACATTTTCCTTTGAAGATGACAGCATGGTCACTCTTAAGTTGGCAATAAAGATGCTTTTTCAAAAAACTATGCATCATTAATTACTAGAGAATTGGGTAGTAACAGAAAAATAATTGGCAGTACAATTACACATTACCTTTTTGATACTCTCTGAAGTCTAAACATTGGTATTATTTGGGGGGTTAATCCTTACCCGAGGATATTTTTTCCATTGATTTTTTTTTTTTAGAGAGAGTGGAAGGGGGGGAAGAGCAGAGAGAGGATCCAGCAACCCAGTAAACATTGGTATTAAACTGTTGCTGATCTGAAAAACAGCTTAGTCAAATGTCTTGAAGCTTTTGCCTTTTGTGATTTAAAGTACTGTCAATGTGGTAATGGCTCACTATCAGGAGTTCACTTCCAGAAACAAAAAATCATAGATGATCAATGAAGATACTAAATGAAGAAATATTTTGGTCTGATGGGCAAATTAAATGTTGAAAAGTTACCTTCATTTTTATTTTAAAAATGATTGTTGGGAGAGGCATAAAGGCAGGCACATATGATGTCTGACAGAGAAGAGATAGAAAATCCATTAAAAATAAAAATTAAAAAATTCAAAACACACTGAGTCTAAAAAGTAGGCAGGTCATGGTCTCTAAGTGCATCATTGCATTCAACCAACACCCTGTGTGATGAGCTGAGACAGAGAATGATGCCTCATTAGCAGTGCTCAGATTCCTCATCTATAGAAAGCCTTACTGGTGGGGGCCTTACAAAATGAGTTAGTATTTTTCTGCTGTGTGTGTGTGTGTGTGTGTGTGTGTACCTTAACCATTATATTCCTACATTAAGACAGTAGAAATAACTGGGTTGCATTTTAGGTTAAGATAAAAAGTTTTGGTGTTTAGCCCTGGTCGGGTAGCGCAGTTGGTTAGAGCATCGTGCCAATTTGCCAGGATGCAGGTTTGATCCCAGGTCAGGGCACATACAAGAAGCAACCAATGAATTCGTAAGTAAGTGGAATAACAAATCAATGTTTCTCTCTCCCTTCCTCTCTCTAAAATCAATCAATTTTTAAAAAATTTTAAGTTTTGGCTTTTAAAGGAGCATTTCAGGTGCTTGAAAAATTCATTTCTGTACAATGCCTTATTTGTTAATGAAGCTGTGAATAAATATCTTGGAATATAAAATTTTCTACTAAAAATTAGGATAGTATGCCTGCTCAAGTCAGGATGAGAGCTTAAAAGAATTTCTATAAATGAAGCATACATCTTTATTAAAATGACTAATGAAAGAGATGTTCTGTTTATGCAGTTATCATTTATAAATCACACCAAGATAT